TTCTCTTGTCTTTGTAGTTGTAAAGTCATAATAATAATAAAAATAAATAAAAATATCGCCCAATAGATTTAAATATCGCCTCCTGTAGTTCTAAGCAATCGTCTTTTGTTTTGTTTTGTATTGTAAATAGGCATGATGACTGAGCTAAACATCGCCTCATTTAAAAATAATTATTATCTTTTAAGTAAACACAGTCTTTTATCATAGTATTATAAACCGTTTTGTATCATGCCCTATCGCCTTTTACTTAAAAACGTGCTAAACATCGCCTCATTTGACTGAAGTATTCACCTTTTAAAGACTCTTAGTTGTTCTAAACATCGCCTTAGATCTAAATAAATATCGCCTTAGATCTAAATATCGCCTTATATGCAGTTTAAACAATCCATTTTAAATGGGTATCCCTGCTAAACATCGCCTCGACTTGAAACTCATCTAAACTGTAGCACGGCCTCAGTATAATATCTAAACATTGCCCTCAGATGTAAACACCACCCTATAGATCTAAATAAAACCCTAAATATCGCCCTGTAAATCTAAACAATGTCAGGTATAACAAAATTTTCTTGCAAGTAATTGCTAAACATCGCCTCCGTGGAATTAAATATCGACTCCCTCTAAAAACATTAAAAATTGGAATTTTGACACAGACGGCACCCCATACCAGACAGCCTGAGGCCTCACCCACATCGGCAGTTAGGCCACGTGTGATGTTGAGCAGAAAGAAAAGGAGGAAGCAAGAGCGACAGGAAAAGAAAGCCAGAAAATATGACAGATACAAGAAGCTCAAAGGATTAGCCACCACTGAGCAATTTAGAGAAGAAAGAAAAAGACCAGTGGCATCTCCAGTCAAGAGGAAAAGACGTTTAGCTTCAAAGAAACAAACACAGATAGAGGCACTGGTAGAAGATAAAGGGATAGAAAAGGAGAAGAGAGAGCTAAAGAAACTAGAGAAACTTTTGTCGATTAAAGAGAGAAAGGAAGAGAAGCAGAAGAAGCTTCCAAATGCATTCATACGTGATGGACTGGATTGTATCCTTTAATTACCGTAAATTTAATAGTATTAATTAATGGGGTGGAGTGGCATAAGACTAAACTATAGCCTTGTAAAAGTAGTTACATTACTTTTTAATTCATAGCTTGTTTAGCATAGATACATGTACTGTACATGTATGAAAAAACATGGCTGATCCCAATTTCTTATTGTTATGGTTATCATCTAGAGATCCTTAACTGATGTATTTAAGATGTTCTTGATTTTGCAAGATACACCAACAGTGAAAGTGATAATGACATTTCATCCATTGAAGGAGAAGTGGAAGAGGAGGAGTTGCCTTCTGAAGAGGAGGACTATCAATCATCAATGGAAGAAGAGACAGAAGAAATAGAGAAAGAAGATATATCTTTAGGAGAGAGTTCTGAAGGAGATAGAGACGTTCAGAAAAAGAAAAAAGTTACTTTTGCTCCTGACACTTTTGCTACACAAAAGCCCTCTACATCCTCCTCTATCCCTGCCTCCTCTTCATCTCCTAATGTAAACAAGAGGATCCAAGGACTAATGAATAAACTGAATGAGTCTAATATACAGACAATGTTCACTACAATGGAAGAGCTGTATAGAAAGAATAGCCAAAGAGGTAACTACGATATAGCTCCAAATTTTCATCTGTCAAAATTTTTGTCAAATTTGTCAGGTATTTTTGCTTAATGAAATTTTTAACCCATAAAATTTTTGTTTCAAAAATTACGAAAATTTTATTAAGAATTTAAGATTTTGACGAAATTTTCAACTGGCAAAAATTTGGAGTTATATGGCATAGATATCAACATTGAGTGATTGATCGTTTTATTTTTTGCTTATTTTAGAAGTGACAAAGTGTTTTTGTGAGGTTTTTCTCAAGTCAGTGATTCAGCCAATACTCATTAAGGACAAGTTTGCAATGGAGCTGGTTATGCTAGTGACATTACTCCATCAAAAGATTGGGAGTGAAGTAGGTAAGGAAAAAGATGCCTTAAGATACATGTACATGTTTGGTTATTAGGTTTGACTACCTTTTAATTATGAGCACTATTGTCTATTGTCACTATTAACTGCTTGTTTTGCTATTGGAATAAAAATTGCAAAAATTAGTATACGCCTAATACTGTTTTATTTTGTTGGTATGAAATTTCGCGAATTTGTCCAGATTTGCCATTTGTTAGTATAAATTTTTTGCAATCCTACCTTCTGCAGCCATTTTTCC